TATCCTCCGTGGAAAAAAGGACAGACAGTCTCAGAGAGGCAGGAGAAGGGGAGAAGCCAATGGATTTTTTTCTGGAAATGAAATCAGCCATTTGTTTAGCCAAGCAAGCATATCAGTCATGGGATCGATAACTTCAGCCACACAGGACCAGTATGTCCAAATAGATTGTTCTCAGAATCCAGCAAATTCTTCTCCCCAGAAAAAGTAGAAGTGGCAGAAACATTCCATCCCTAGCCATCGGAATTTCACTAATGTAGAGAAAATGATACCCCCAGAGATTTAAAAAATCAGGTATTCTTCCTCTTCATATTTCCTTAGTTTGGGGAAGCTAGGTGGCACAAAGGGTAAGACTGCTAGACTTGGAGACAGAAAGACCTGAATTCAAATCCTCCTTCAGACACTTACTAGGTGTGTGACCCTAGGCGAATCATGTAACTCCTCTCCTCAATTTCCTCATCTACAAATGAAAGGTTTGGATTTGGTGACATCTAAGGCTCCTCCCAATTAGACTGAGCCCCTGGAGAGTAGAGCTGTCCTTTGTCTTTCTCTGTATGCACCAGCACTGTGCACAATGCCTGGCACATAGTAGACACTTTACTAAATGTTTATTGACTGACTTCTAGTTCTAAATCCCTGATCTTATGTTCTATTTATGAACTGGAAGCGTGCCCCCGTGAAAAGAAGAGGTTAGGCTCTGAGAGCTTTTCCAGCAATAACCAACATTTATGCAGCTATTTTAAAGTTTGCAAATCAGCTCCCCTCTCCCTCTGACCTGTGGGCCATGTTTATGCCCATGAAAGGAGTAAAAAGAGGCAGCTGGCAGGCTTCCTTAGTCCAAATGTATCAGAAATTGTCTCTCAGTATGCTGTTAGCAACCTGAGAGCAATGGGGATCTCCATCTCCTGAAAGGTTTGCAGTTCACTTGTAGTGGGTGTGGTCTCTCAATGTCTTCTGTTCATTGATGGATCCTTCAAGTGGGCAGCAGCAGTGACCCCAGTGTGGAGACTGGGATTTCTGGTTGGTCTCTGGAGCTCTTTTCCAGGGATCCTCAGGGTCTTTAATGCTTTTCTCTTCAGGGAGAGGTTCTCTTCAGCTGGGTTCAGAAGCCAGAGACCCAGATGTGGGAGATACAAAAGCTCAGACAAAATTAGAGCTGGAAGAGACCCAAGATATCATCACACTCAACCCCCTCATTTTACATAGATGGACTAACAGACCCAGAGAGGAATGACTTGTCCAAGGTCACACGATAAACAAGTAGCAGAGCTGGTATTCAAAACTAAGACCCCGAACTCCAAAGCTACTGCTCTTGTCATACAACAGCTGCCTCTCTCAGCTAATTGACCAGGATGAAGTGAGCAGTCTTTCACTGTTGAGCATTTCAATGCCAGCTGCAACTTAAATGGTGACACCATCAGAGTCTGGTTTTGCTGTTCTCCCTTCTTCCCTTTCAGTAGCCTCTACCTTCTGAGATCTCCTCTGTCCCATCCCCTTCCCTGGAATACTTGCTCTCCTGCTGCTTCTAGTTGACCATGGGAAAACTAGGCTTTCCCATGCTCCAAAATTACTTCTCAAGTCCCTCCATAACCCCATAAAAATTCCCGTTCCCTCAAGGCTTTGCTTAGCTAATTGGCAGATAGCAACACAAGCTAGGAAATTAATTTGTAGTAATTAGTAGTCAATAATCATTCAATATTGGGGGGAGGTAGCTGTTAAAGGAAGATGTTTAGTAAGTTAAAGGATGACCTCTAGTGATGGAAATTCAGCTACCATGGCAGGTAATAATGATAGTAGCCAGCATTTATACAGCATTTTATGTTTTGCAAAGTTTTACATATTTTATCTCATTCCATCCTTACAACACTGTGAGGTAGGTGCTATTATTATCCCCCATTTTACGGAAAAAGAAATTGAAGTGACTTGCTCAGAAACCTACAGCTGGTAAGTGTCTGAGACCAGATTTTGAACTCAGGTCTTCTGGATTCCAGCTCTCTAACCACTTTGGGTGGGCAGGAGTGACTAAGGAGACCTGAGGGTGAAAGGACAGATCTTAATTAGGGAAAAACCCAGGGAGGTGACCAGAACATCAGGTTCAATTACCTGTAGGTTGTGGCAAGAGAAGAAAAGGGGTCATGATGACCCTGGAAGAGGCTCCCTGCCCTCTAGACTTGCCTCATCTAGACAACATGAAGCTTTCATTACTTCCCTGGATCTTTTATCCTCCTCAAGTCAGGTAGTTCACAAAAGTAGATTAAGGCCACTGAATTTGGATAATGATCTTATCTAATGGCTAAGGCCACTGATTTGGATGGCAATCTCTAGCAATCTTATCTAATTAGTTTCCCACTTCTGATGACACAGGAGGGGAGATGCTGAGGAGCTGCCAAAGAATACCCAAGATGCCCCATTCCCATATCAATCAGAGAATAAAGAAGTTTCCAGCAATGAGCGAGCCTAAAAAAGGGATAGATGGACTCAGCAGAAAGAAGGAGCACATTTAAACACAAAAGCCTGATGGATCTCAGAGGTAGAAAATAAAGTTTTTCAGACTACCACAAATATCAGACCCACTCAGTGGATTTCAATCTAAATTCAAGAGACAAATGAAATATAAATATACACACAGATTAACTCAGAAAAAGGAAATGGATTTCAGGCTGTCCACTGAGGTCAGAAAAGTATAGCAATACTGAAGTCATCTTGGTTCTTCAAAGGACTTCACATGGAGAAACTTTTTTTGTTTCTTCTATTGATGCCTTTTGTTTTTACATCACAATCATTTCTAAATCCATCCCTTTCCCCAGTGCCTTCCCAGGGAGCTTCTATTTGTAAAGAATACTGTTTTTTTAATAGCTCGGCAAAACTAACCAATATATCAACCATATTCGGCAATATCTACAACATTCCATAGCCGTGGTCCCCCAACTCTTCAATGAAAAGAGGAAATGCACTTTCTTGTCTTTTCTATGGAACCAAGTTTAGTGATTGTGGTGTCACAGCAATTAGGGAAACTGGAAAGCAGTCTGGCAGATATTAAACTTAAGCCAATGCCTTATGCCATATTCCACAGTAAATTCTAAATCAATATATGATCTTAAGATCATACCATAAAAAATGAAAAGAGTCAAATCATATTCCCTTCATAGCTATGGGCAGGAGATGTATTACTAACCAAACAAGGGATAGAGGAAATTACAGAAGAAAAAATGATTACATGAAACTGAAAAGCTTCTGCACAAATAAAATTAATGCACCTAGGATAAGAAGGAAAACAGTAGGATGGGGAAAAATAATTGTATCAAATTTCTCAGATAAGGGTTTGGTATCTAAGATACATAAGCAATTCAATCCAAAAGTCTTCCCCAAACAAATAAGTAGTCAAAAGATGTGAACAAATAATTTTCAAAAGAAGAAAGGCAAATTATTAATAACCATGTGAAAGAATGCTCCAAATCACTGATAATAAGGGAAATTCAAATCAAAATAACACTGAGGTTTCACCTCACACTCTACAAATTGGCAAAGATGACAAAAGATGGGAAAAGTCAATGTTTGAGGGCTTGAATTTGTAATTGTCCACATGACGTGAATAAAATGTTCAAACCCTTTGATCCAAAAATTCCATTACCAAGTTTATACCTCTAAGGAGTTCCTTATAAGAAGAAAATTCCATATACACCAGAATATTTATAGTAGCACACTTGTGTTAGCAAAGAACTAGATGGATGCCCATTGATTGGGGAATGGCCAAATAAATTGAGGTATATGAAGGTATATGAAGACTATATGTGGGGTAAAAATCAACAAATATGATGAAAACAGAAGTATGAAAAGATTTACATAATCTGATGCAGATTGAAATAAGCAGAGTCAAGAAAATAGCACATCTAATGACTGCAAATTAAATGGAAAGACTGCAAAACTGCAGTCTTTCCTGCAAAACAATCAAAAGTGAACATTACAAAATTATACAGAATAAGCATAGCTCCAAAGAAAAAATATAAGAAGACACCTTCACCCCTCTTCTTTGCAGAGGTGGGAGATTCACAGTTGTGGTATATTGCACATCTTTTTCAGACTTTTTCAATGTATTGATCAATTTCACTAATTCTACTTTTTCTTTTAAAAATATTTATTACATATGATGGCTCTCAGGGAAGAAAATAAAGGGAGAAATTTTGGTGACCAAAAAAATTTTAAAAAATTTTAAGTGGGGGCAGCTAGGTGGCACAGTGGATAGAGCACCAGCCTTGGAATTGGGAGGACCTGAGTTCAAATCCGGCCTCAGACCAAACACTTGACACTTAATAGCTGTGTGACCCTGGGCAAGTCACTTAACCCCAATTACCTAAAAATAAAAAATTTTTAAATTTCAAAAAAAATTTAAAGTAATCACACAGCATTTGAGTTCATCTTTGTTGTAGTCATTGTGTATGTAGCTTTTCTGGTTCTACTTTTTTCTCTCTGAATCAGTTCCTAAAAAATTTTTTATGCTTCTCTAGATTGTTAATAATCATTATTTTTTAAGGAGCAGTAATACATCATGATCTTAATATAACACAATTTGCTTAATCCACAAGTTCTTTTTTCCCCAATCCTTTGCCTCTCACAAAATGATATTTTTTTGTGTATATGGGGAATTTCTTTCTGTCTTTGACTGAGTTGAGAAGTCTTCTGGAAGAGACATTTAAAGAGGACTCATATTTGTAAAGCTTATTATATTATATTATATTATATTATATTATATTATATTATATTATA